CCCCCCCCCCCCCCTCTAGAGTTGCACACTTGTCTAACAATTGGTATCAGAGCAGGAAGTTCTTTGAATACGTTATTTTTCAGGAACTAAAAGATCAAATGGCATCAAGGATGTTCAACGCAGGAGTGACCGAGGGACAATCAACCACGAGGCCACCTTTGTTCGATGGAACAAACTACTCGTATTGGAAAGAGAGGATGAGAATCTTTATCCAATCCAACGACTACAAGCTGTGGCTGATTGTGAAGAACGGCTGCGGAGTCCCGATGAAGAAAGTCGGTGAAGTCAACGTTCCCAAAACCAAAGAGGAGTTCACCGACGAAGACTGCAAAAAGATGGAGCTCAACGCAAAGGCAATAAACATGATTTATTGCGGTGTTAACGCGGATGACTACCGCAAAATCTCGCGGTGTGAAACTGCAAAACAAATGTGGGAAAAATTGGAAGTCACCTACGAAGGAACCGCGCAGGTTCGGGAGGCCAAAATCGACCATCTTACTCACGAGTATGAACTCTTCTCAATGAAGGAAAACGAGAAGATTGAGGAAATATTTGAGAGGTTCTCTAACATCATTAATCCTCTCAATCTTCTCGGGAAGACCTACACCGACCGAGAACTCGTGAGAAAGGTGCTACGAAGCTTATCCCCAAAATGGCGTTCAAAGGTGGACGCAATCGAGGAAGGTCGTGACTTCCAAACAATGACCTATGATGCTCTTCGAGGTAATCTCATTACCTACGAAACCACCCAACTCTCAAAGGTGGTTGAAGAGAGGAACAAGAGGTCTATTGCTCTACCCGCAACAACATCAACCCACAACAACGTTGATGATGAAGATGATGACAGCGACGACACCGACCTCGGACTCTTTGTCCGAAGATTCAAGAAGATGATGCTCAAGAAGGGAGCCAAGAAGAACACTCCACCCAAGTGCTATGGGTGTGGTGAAATTGGGCACATCAAACCAATGTGTCCAAAGCTCAAGAACGAGAAGGACAAGAAGGCACCGAAGAAGCAACGTGCCTACATTTCTTGGGAGAATGACGGCTCCGAGAGTGAAGACTCGGAAACGGAGGAAGTGGCCAACTTATGTCTCATGGCCATTGAAGATGGTGACACATCAAAAGAGGTAAGTGATCAAGAACCTTCTCCGAATGATCCTTTAACTCTTAATGATGTTGTTTGCATTGTAGAAGATTTAGTAGGAATGTTCAAAAAGGCTTCCAAAGAAAATAATGAAATAAAGCAAAAAATCCTGATTTTTGAGAATGATATCAAAGAACTCAAAAATATAAATGATAAACTTAAACAAGAAATTATCTCTTTTGGAAAAAGGCCACAAGAACCTTCA